GAATGATCACACAACATGTCATCACCTCCCACAAGGTTTCCGGATCCCATTGTTTAGCAGGTCCATGAACAACTGCAAAACGGGCCTGTAGAACTCCAAATGCCCTCTCCACATCCTTTCTAGCTGCTTCTTGTCTTTAGGAAAAGTGAGCCTTTTTCTGGTTAACTATATAGGCTTGAGATGGTGCTCACGAAGGTAGCCCATGCAGGATAGATACCGTCAACCAGATAGTAGCTCATGTTGTACTCATGTCCAATGACAGTATAATGGTAAGGAGGAGCTTTTCCTTCAGTCAGCCTCGCAAATAATGGCGATCGTTGCAACACATTGATGTCATTGTGAGACCTGGACATGCCAAATAAAGCATGTCAAATCCAAAGATCTCGTGATGCAACTGCTTGAAGAATGATGGTGGGCTTCTTAGCATGACCCTGATATTGCCCTTGTAAAGCCTTCAGACAGTTCTTCCATTTCCAATACATGCAGTCAAGTGATCCAAGCAAACCTGACCAACCTCTTGCTTCTGAGATTTCCGAGAGCCTCTCGGTATATGCCAGTTGGTTCTCTCAGGTACTGAGGTCTGAACACCTCAACCACGACAGTTGCAAACCTGACCATGGCATCTCCGCATGTCCTCTCAGACATCCGTAAGTACTCGTCCCACGGATTAGTGGTTGTGCCAGATGCAAGCATCCGGGAGTGCGGTCGTGCACTTCTGGTAACCAGAGAAACCAAATCGTTCCCACGGCGTCATTCTTCAGGATAAAATAGTCATCGTAGGACCGGATCAAAAACAGTCTTGCGCATCGGAAAACGCCAGCGAAAATGGTCAACAAATAGTGCATCGGGGGCAAAGTAGTTGGCCATCAGTGTCAAATGCCTGCGCGCCCTGTTGCGGTTGAGCACTCAGTGACCCTTGATCGAGCCCTTGAAATTGAGAACATGCTCCTCCGCACGCTCTGCTCCGCGTCTTCAAGGACCGCGTGCATAATCGCCGTCTCATTGGAGTACTCCTCCTCGTCCAACGAGCCGTCGGACGACTCAACATACTGATCGTATATGTACTTCAAACCGGAGCCCATTGCTACAAAGAAGAAGGGGCAACTTTTTTCATCTCCGGCGATTCATCAAACATTTGTCGTGCATGGTGAGTAGAGCAGTAGCGAATGGTACTTGGCGGGACAAGGTTTGAACGAAGACGGAGGAGAAGCTGCGGGGAGCCCTGCTGGAGCGCCGGAGGTGAAGAAGAGCAAAGTTTTGGTAGGGGTGTGGCGGTGGTGGTGGAGCGGGGGCTAAGGCAAGAGAGAAAGAAAGGAAGGAGAGAAAATGAGGAGGATGGAGTCGCGGGGTTTGGGAAGGGTTTTGGGTGGGCCGGGGCTATCGGGAAGCGACGTTTCGGGTGTCCGGACTCTTGCAAACCTCCCCCACTTTTGTCTCTGGTTTGCGAGAGAAATCACGTCTGTACCGCCCCGCGGACACATACAAACTCGCGTAGGATGGCTTCCGCGGTCCGGACGGATGCGGGTGGTTTGTGGGTCTGCCTTGAAGATGCCCTAACAAGGGTATTTGACAATTTTCATGCGAAACGGGATGGCAATATTTCATCGGTGAGAAAAATAATAAGTGTAATAGTTGAAGGTACGTTTGTCGTTTGACTTGTTTTTTTACACAAGTCAAAATGCTTAACCTTTCCTCCACAAAATTGCAGGTAGCATTTAAGCGTGGCAATGAACGCATTTAATTTTTTTCTTTACTTTTTTGACATTTGCAATAAACTTTTTTGATGCACAGAGCAATAGAGCATACACTGTGATGATCCGAATTGAATTTTCACGTGTGTGGATGTTTGCATGTGACAAGTATATAGAGTGCGCGGCGGTAAAAGAAAATTCACCAGTAAAAAAGCAGCACGTGGATGAGAAAGCGGAGAGTTTGTTTGGAACCGCATTCCGGCGGCTAAATTTCATGTTTTGACCTTTTTTCGATAGCTATTCGAGATCTGATCCTAGTTTGAATTTTTTTCAAGATCTGACCCTTTTGCTACCGTCAGGGTCCATGGCGGTAGGGTATAACTGCCTACCGCCAAGGTCCCTGGCGATAGGATTGCATGCCCTACCGTGAAATTTTGCTAAGTATTAAACATAGTGCGTGCTCGTGCCTACCGCCAAGCACCTTGACGGTAGGGTTGTACATGCTACCGCCATAATGTTTGACGGTAGGGATGTTTCCTACCGCCAAGGTCCCTGGCGGTAGGTTGTTACACCCTACCGTCATGAACCCTGACGATAGCAAAAAGGTCAGATCTCGAATTTTTTTAAACTAGGGTCAGATCTCGAATAGATATCAGAAAAGGGTCAAAACACAAAATTTTGCCCATTCTGACTGTGTACAGCTGTGCAGTGTCATAGTTTTCTTTCTGTTAATTGCTAGCAACCCAAAATCCGACCCCGAAAACTCCGATACTTGTCTTTTCGGAGCAGCGGCCGGCGGCACCGCCCACCACCGGAGGCAGCGGCTTCACCGGAGCAGGTATGTCCTGTTCCCCACCGCTACGAGGAGGCGGCGAGGTGGCGGCGGGAGCACACGCCCCTCGCACGTACATGGCGCGCACACCTAGCGAGGCTGCGAGGGGGTCGAGCGAGAGTACAGCGCGAGGGGATCGAGGAGATGGGCGCGACCTTCACTCCCGTTCACGGGGTTGTTGAGCACGACGACCCTCGTCGGTGAGGTCGTCGCCGGTCGGCGATGGTCGGGGTCGAGTAGCTAGAGAGTATCGAGCCCGAGGTTGCGCCCCGCGCAAGATGGCGTAGCGACGGCTCGCCGGCTGGTCCGGCCCGGCCAGGCCCTGCACGACGCCACGCGCTGGAACGCCGTGGCGTCACGGGCGTCCCCGCGCGCACCATCTCCCCATCAAGCAGTGGCTTTTGCACCTGCGCATGTAGGATTTGCAACCGGAGCGCCGTTCGTTAGCGCGCCGGGCTGCTTGCGAGTGTGCAGCTATTTGCCTAATGTGTCGGATTTAAGATACGCCATTGGAGATTGTTTTCATGTAAATCTTTTCTTCCCAATTGCAGGGATGGAGGACATGAGCACGCAGGTTGTATCTCCTGCAGCGGCTGGCGTGATGAGTGAAGTGGCTGTCCTAGTGAATGCGCTGTCTATTGTCATCGATCTTGGGCCACTGTGAGCCTTGTCTTGCATTCTCAGCAAATTCTTTGTAGGGCGAGGTTGTGATATTCTGAACAAGTTATTCTCATTGCAGCTTCGTCTTGCTTTTTCCAACTGACTGGAAGGAAGTGAGCAAGTTCTTCAGCCTCAAATCTTTCATACTTAGCGCCGTGATGAACTTCTTTCTGGCTTCACATGTGCTGTTCGAGATTGATGAGAAGGACAAACATCGTGATGTCTTGTTTGTGTCTGTGGTGGGCTTTTGCACTGCTACAGTTTTCGCTTTCTTTCTTCTGGCCCATCGTGGTGTCATGAAAAACAGTCGCTGGGCACGGTGCTGGGTAAGAACTATGAAGTACATTTTACACATATTAGGTTATGCTATTGAGTACTGGGTACAAATTGCTGAAGGGTCCTTATTTGCAGATGGCTTATATCCTGCTGTGCTTTGTTATCGCTTGCCTTGTGCTTCTGGGTGGCATTTTTGTAGAGTTTCAGGGTTATGGCCCAATCATAAGTGTGTTGGGTTTCCTAGTGGTGCTTGTATTGAATGCTGCTACTGTGGCCCCAGTTGTAAGTAATTTTTTGAATATCTACTAGAATATTTGTATGCAAAATTACCCAACTCTTACAAATCCAAGGAAATGTTATTTTTGCAGCTGACTTGCAAGCCCTTACCTGATGACGAAGTTACGTTCTACACTGTCTTCATGTCGTTCTTGAATGCCCTTGATTCCAGCTTTTTTGTGTTTTACGCTGTCTGCCTCGGAACGTTTGGCCGCTTTCTGTCGGTAAGTCCCCATTCCTCTAGAGGAAGTTTATCTCAAACTGCCAGCACTATCAAAATTATGTATGATGTAGCAATTACCAATTTAAAGAGTAGTTCCAGTGTCACCAGTGTAAGTAAATTGCTAGTAATACCTGCTCTGAGCTAGCCATTGAACCATGATGCAGCAAAACTTTACTAGGGTCGCCAAGCATTGGGTATTTGGGTTGTAGCTGCTCTTTCAGTGTATTAATGTCATCCCACCCGGTCAAAAATACAAGCACAGCACCATCTCTTTCCTTATGACTAATATGGCAGAATCTGCTTGTAGTACTTACTAAATGTGGAATTGCTTTGCAAGTTTCATTTAACTTAGAAAAGAGGAACTTCTATATTCACATGTGAACCGACAGGTGAGAGTTTGAGCTGACCGAGGAAATGATGGGTAATTATTCGTGTGATGTTTTTCTGAGTTGAAGTTGAAGTTTCTGATCCTACTGCCATGGTTATTGCTCCACCTGTGATTTAGAAGTTAACCCAATAATGCTTTATCTACTCTCTGGACATGCTTCTGTTGAGATTCACCAGAGAGATCAATCCATGTTATTTAACATATCAAATGTATAGAAAAAGACACATGGGCTAAGTAATCATGGACCTATATGTTGTATTGCTGTTCCATAAGGCCTGGCCATTGGAAGTTCAGCACTTGGACCACTATACTTGAGTGACATGCTGACACATTGGTTTTTGCACTTTGGAGTGTTAGTTCTGTTTCACTGAGTGCAAATATCTATGCTCTGGTATAATTCCGTTGTCTTTTTTTTATGCAGCTAGTCAGTTTGATGAATGCTTTGGGTGCACTTATACTACTCATTGGACTGATTGTGACTGCACTACTGAAAGGGCTACGTCGACTTCTCAACTTCATTTTCAGCTTTGGTGGCCACCACAGGAACGACTGAACTGGGACCAAGAGAATTTGGCTGGATTAGGAGAACTACTTTGCTGATGAAAACTAATACGCTTGTCCGTGAAACAAAATTTTGTAATAATATGGCCACCCGACGATCGGGAGATGTCGCCGGTGTGCACTGTTTGCAGTTTTATTCGTACGCTTTATTTCTCACTTTTGTAGGAGATAAGTTAATAGTGCAACGGCAGAACCATATATGGGTCATACTTTCAGTGTTATATGCTGCAACTCTCTTCTATCTCTGCCAAAAAATATATGTTTGGGGCTGCATTCTTTCGATAATTACGCCGGGATTTGGCTTGTTTGTTTCTCTCTCTCCTGTTGCCTTGGTTGTTTGTTGGCATGGTCTGATGGTTGTTGCAATCTCAATGCAGCTGTGGCCTATCACTATTGCATATGAATTTGGTTGACTTTGCCTTGTTTTGAAATGCATAATGTAGAAAGTGATCTACCTTTCTATTAAAAAATAATATAAAGCATGGGGAACAGCCGGCTGCTCGCTAGAGCTCCGGAGCGGCTGGCCCAAATAGATATATTTGGGTCTCTAATCCATGTAAGGAAATCATTGTCTCCATAATTATAGTATAAGAAAAATTGTAATCTATATTAGAGAGAAAAGTAGCATGTAAACAGAAAAAAACACAAAAGCATATGTGAACAGGTGTGAATGTATTTAATTCGGATTTCAAAAGTTTTAAAAAGTCATGACTTTTAAACCATGCGTTAGAATTAAGATCTGTTTTTAACTTTTCATGGTTGGAACCCTTGCGACGTGCTCTTTGAAATAAGATCTCGCATGGGTATGTTTCGACGAGTTTTCTTTTTATGCAACTTAATCCCCTTGATGCAACCGTTTAGGAGTCAATATGCAACTACATGACAGTCGATGTGCAACTTTTTTCCTACTTGTGGACATGCAGTTTTCGCTCATGCGAATATATGTGAAGGCATTTGATTCGGGTTTTCATTTTTTCATAACTTTTGAGTCGAACATCGGAATTAAGACCCGCTTTGATTGTTGGAACCTATGCGACATGCTCTTGGAAACTAGATCTTGTGTGAGTATGTTTTGACAAAATTTATTGTGTGCAATTTAATCCCCGTCAGGTGCAATTGCCTAGTACTTGATGTGCAACTATATGGGACTCGATGTGCAACTTTCTCCCTACTCATAGACGTGCAATTTTCACTGATGACAGCTTCATCCCAATCTACCCCCGACAGTGAGATGTGTAACTTTGTCTGTTGCCCAGGCAACTAATCCCTCTGTAAACTAAGAGCATTTAGATCACTAAGTAGACCACTAACTTAGTGATCTAAACACTCTTATATTAGTTTACATAGGGAGTACATAATAGTTGATGTACAATTTCTCCCTGCCCGTGGATGTGTGGATTTCACTATTTGTCGCCTCGGCCAACTGTCTAACAGTGGATGTGCAACTTTTGATGCTTCCCCATCCAAATGTCTAACAATGATGTGCAATTTCCTTGGTATCCCGTGAATGTCTAGTTTTCCCTACTAAGGACCCCGTCTGTCGGTGGTAAAACCGGCAGACCTCGGGGTAGGGGGTCCCGAGCTGTGGATCTCAGATCGATAGTAACGGGGACAAAGGATACAATGTTTAGCTAGGTTTGAGCCCTCTTGAAGAGGTAATACCATACGTCCTACTTTGATTATATTGATGATGATGATGTATCGAGTACAAACTTGATCTACCTCGAGATCGTAACGAGAGACTAACTCTAGGGCTAGGTGAATGTAATTGTGATCCGGTCCCCTCTACGGGCCAAACCCTCTGGCTTATATACACACCAGGTAGAGCATCTAGGGTTACATGGTCGATATCCAGGGTACGCATGGAGGCGGCAAGAGATGTCACTACAAAAAAAAGACACATCCATGACATTTTGGGCCGAACGAATTTTTTTCCTATCATGCTTAGGACACTTCTATGATGATAATTGTGACAAAACCAGGTATCATCATAGATGTGGTGGGCTCCTACTTCTATGACAAAAAATCATGACAAAAAATGGGCTTTTCGTCCTGGGCGGGCCGGAGACGCAGCTGCATGACATTCTTTGGGCTGTCCATGACAAAAAAAACCATGATAGAAGCGAGGGCGAGGAAAATATCGGGGAGTTCCTGGTTACAGGTGGGTGGTCGCGGCCGAGCGATGCACGGAGGTTTGCATGTTTCTCTCGTACACGTAAGCGCGTGTGTGCAAGGCGTTACACTCTAACTGAACCCGAGCAAGGTGTTGGGCTCTAACTGAACTCGAGCGATTGCACTAGCTACGTTACTGAACCCCGATCGATCTCTTGCTGTTAACTAAACCCGAGTGATTCCTTCGCTACTGCTGTTAAATGAAGCCGATCG